GGGTGCAGTATAAACTGGAGTTCGAACCCTTGCACCAACTCCCTGCCTCCAGTTTCCTCTAATCTTATATTTTTCATGATATATTTAACTATCTATTATATATTTAATTTGTTTTTAAATATCTGCTACTATGAAATTAACCTCTACTTTTATCAAAATAAAATATAAGAATGTCCAATAAAAGACTGTGACTGTTTCTAGGCAGACAATAAAGGAAAATATTGGTACTTTTTGTTTGTGCAAAAGTTTCTTTTGATATATTATTATTATAATCCTATAATATAAAATTATATATTATAATCCTGTAATGAGTAGACCACCAAAATAATAATAATAATAATCTGATTTTCAGGTTCGCAAGCAAAGAATCCCGACTATGGAGACTGATATATGAATGGCGTAAGGCGGCCCAGCCTCCACTGCTGTCTGCTTCACTAGAGTGACTCTCCTTGGACTCTGTGACTCTGCTGACTGCAGAGTCCTCGCCAACACTCCAGGCAGACTCGCGGCCACTCCTGGCAACATCTACACTGACAAGCATCACCTGATCTAATGAGAAAATTGGTGTGAATGTTAAAAAAAACTATTTTTATATTAATTTTCCGCTAGACCATATAGCCTCCAAAAGACTTCATAGAGAGTAAACAAATTCTCTGCCTATCGAGACGCCGTGTTGAGGGCTGCTATGGCTTTACGGGCTTCACATGGCTTGGTATTTTGGGAGGAACCGAGGCTTCGAATCCCGAGGTTTCGAGCCTGGAGTGTCAGTGGGCACCACAGATGGCGAAACATTAATTTCTTTGCCACAACACTATTATATGGACCACCCATATGTGGACTATTATGTACTGATCCCTCTCTAAGCAGTACAGGAACCATCAACTGTTTGGAGCTCACTGTATAGTGACCAGTGTATAGTGACCACTGTATAGTGACCACTGTTAATGGGCAACTATGCTTCCCATGTGGACTTCAAATCATTGGCAAAATTGTCAAACTATTTGATTGGGAATAATTTTACTCTGTCAATGTTTGAAGTTCACGTCCCTATTAATTATGTATTTGTCTTCGATGTTAAGTGATTCAGAGACGACTTTGTATTTAAGTGAAGCCTGAATGTTGTAAATTATAGATGCTGATCGCAGAAGTCTGTGATCTCTCTTATTGTTGTGAGGTTTTCACTAGCCATTATGTCACTTGTGAGGGAGAGTCAGCTGTAAGAGCCAGGTGTGAGGGAGTGTCAGCTGTAGGACAGTGTCAGATGTAAAGAGATGTCATCTCTGAAGGTGTGTGATGCAGAATTTAGTTTTTTGTTGTAAATATTGCTTTTGTGACTATTTTCCTGTGAATGGCCACCCAGTGTGGTGCCACCAGTGTGGTGCCACACTGGCTCCTGACATTCCTGTCGCCACACTCTGGCTCTACGGACCTTTGAGGCGGTAGAGGAGCCATCACCAGGCGCGCGTGACCGCACAAGCACACATGCTCACACATGCACGCATGAACGCACGCATAAACAAGACCATTATACCAGGCACAAATAATCCCGCATTGGTACACAATGCACATCCGTGCACGCATAAACACGCACGTGTATACATGCACGCATAAACACGCACGTGTATACATGCACGCATAAACACGCACGTGTATGCATGCACGCATAAACACGCACATGTATGCATGCACGCATAAACACGCACGTGTATACATGCACGCATAAACACGCACGTGTATGCATGCACGCAAAAACATGCGTCAGTGTAAGCACGAGTGTAAACAGTTTCGTACGCATATTTACGCATGTACATGGCCAAGCTTATGTGATTATACATTTAACTTTGAACTGCATGGCACTCATTGGTTCGTCTTCTTCCTGGCACTGCATGACACCTGTAGTCCACCTGGCACTGTATGACACCTGTAGTCCACCTGGCACTGTATGACACCTATAGTACACCTGGCACTGCATGACACCCGTAGTCCACCTGGCACTGTATGACACCTGTAGTCCACCTGGCACTGTATGACACCTGTAGTCCACCTGGCACTGTATGACACCTGTAGTCCACCTGGCACTGTATGACACCTATAGTACACCTGGCACTGCATGACACCTGTAGTCCACCTGGCACTGTATGACACCTGTAGTCCACCTGGCACTGTATGACACCTGTAGTCCACCTGGCACTGTATGACACCTGTAGTCCACCTGGCACTGTATGACACCTGTAGTCCACCTGGCACTGTATGACACCTACCACCTGGCACTGCATGACACCCGTAGTCCACCTGGCACTGTATGACACCTGTAGTCCACCTGGCACTGTATGACACCTGTAGTCCACCTGGCACTGTATGACACCTGTAGTCCACCTGGCACTGTATGACACCTGTAGTCCACCTGGCACTGTATGACACCTATAGTACACCTGGCACTGTATGACACCTGTAGTCCACCTGGCACTGTATGACACCTATAGTACACCTGGCACTGTATGACACCCATAGTCCACCTGGCACTGTATGACACCCGTAGTCCACCTGGCACTGTATGACACCTGTAGTCCACCTGGCACTGTATGACACCTATAGTACACCTGGCACTGTATGACACCTGTAGTCCACCTGGCACTGTATGACACCTGTAGTCCACCTGGCACTGTATGACACCTGTAGTCCACCTGGCACTGTATGACACCTGTAGTCCACCTGGCACTGTATGACACCCGTAGTCCACCTGGCACTGTATGACACCTGTAGTCCACCTGGCACTGTATGACACCTGTAGTCCACCTGGCACTGTATGACACCTATAGTACACCTGGCACTGTATGACACCCGTAGTCCACCTGGCACTGTATGACACCTGTAGTCCACCTGGCACTGTATGACACCTATAGTACACCTGGCACTGTATGACACCCGTAGTCCACCTGGCACTGTATGACACCTATAGTACACCTGGCACTGTATGACACCTGTAGTCCACTTGGCACTGTATGACACCTGTAGTCCACTTGGCACTGCATGACACCTGTAACTTCGTCACTGCGGCTGACTCGGTAAAATTATCTTCCACAACCCTCAATAAAATCAGAAATAATTCACTATATATATTTTTCCCCAACCAATTATATTCATTTATTCCGTCCGGTCTCTTTCCTGGTTCATGTCTCCTGGTTCATGTCTCCTGGTTCATGTCTCCTGGTTCATGTCTCCTGGTTCATGTCTCCTGGTTCATGTCTCCTGGTTCATGTCTCCTGGTTCATCTCCCCGGGTTCATGTCTCCTGGTTCATCTCCCCGGGTTCATGTCTCCTGGTTCATCTCCCCGGGTTCATGTCTCCTGGTTCATCTCCCCGGGTTCATGTCTCCTGGTTCAGCGTCTGAAGCATGTGTAGAACTACCCAGAGATAACGACTTTCACAACAGCAGAACTACCAGGCCCTCACACAACTCACGGCGGCCTTGATAAGAACGGATACGAGGGGATACTAAGTCAAGTTTTACATGTAAACAAAGAATGGTTTTTCCCCCCGGCTTGAAGGATCTTCTAATGACCAAAGCATAAACACTCTAAGACTTGTTACCGTCTTCCGTTGTCGAGTGCCAGGCTTTTGTTTCGTTATCAATGGATTAGTCAGGATCGACTTCAAAACCATGATGGGGTTTCCGGTATACGAGACAGTGAATTATAAATATATTTCCCGGTAGCATTTGGCTCTCGGGATGCGGTCGGACAAGCCCAGGAGTCGTGGCATTATCGTGGAGCGTCCGGCGGAAGCGACTGTCTTCACTCGGCGCTGCTCGTCACCGCTGAGATGAGGTACAGAGAGGGAGCCTGAAGCCTGTGTAGCACTTGGCAGGCTGAGGGGTGGCAGGCTGAGGGGTGGCAGGCTGAGGGGTGGCAGGCTGAGGGGTGGCAGGCTGAGGGGTGGCAGGCTAAGGAATGGGAGATATGTGGATAGAGAGAAGGAACGGTGCCCGGCTACGTCGTCCACTGAGAGGTCGTAACGCTCTGAATGCCAGAGGCGCGGCCCGTTCTCCGGAATTGCCACAATAGACAAAATACGGGGTACTAAACCCGACAACCCATATCAAATGGCGACAGCATCACCACCACCAACTACCACCACCAACCATCACCACCACCAACTACCACCACCAACCATCACCACCACCAACTACCACCACCAACCATCACCACCAACTACCACCACCAACCATCACCACCACCAACTACCACCACCACCAACTACCACCACCAACCATCACCACCACCAACTACCACCACCAACCATCACCACCACCAACTACCACCACCAACCATCACCACCACCAACTACCACCACCAACCATCACCACCACCAACTACCACCACCAACCATCACCAACTACCACCACCAACCATCACCACCACCAACTACCACAAATAACCACCACCAACTACCACCAACAACTACCACACCAAGTTCCACCAAGAACCCTTATCACCATCAACCGCCACCACCAACCACCAACACCTCCAACAACCACCACCAGCAACAATCACCACCAATACAAACCACCACCAACACAAACCACCACCACAATCAACCACTACCACCACCAACCAGCCTGATCAAACAACCACCACCGCAAACCTCCACCACCAACAACAACAACCACCACCACCCATCTGCAACAACCACCATGCAACCTGACCAACAACCACCACCACCAACAACAACCAACTACCACCATCACCAACAACAACC